CTCAAGCAATTCTACCTCAGCCTTCCAATTAGCTGGGACTACAGGCATGTGCCACCATGCCCAGCTAATTTTTTCTATATATATATTAGTTGGCCAATTAATTTCTTTCTATTTATAATAGAGATGGGGTCTCGCTCTTGCTCAGGCTGGTTTCGAACTCCTGACCTTGAGCAATCCGCCCGCCTCGGCCTCCCAGAGTGCTAGGATTACAAGCCTGAGCCACCATGCTCAGCCTTTACTTATATAAGTAAAACCTAGTTTTTTAGTAGCTAATGACAGGCTTAATCTATAATTATATTTCCAGATGGGAAAGGTGAGAAAACTTGATTATTTCACATATCATATCTGAGAAGCTATTAGAAATGCTCAGGCCAGGCGCGGTGGCTCACGCCTGTAATCCCAGTACTCTGGGAGGCTGAGGCGTGAGGATCGCTCGAGGTCAGGAGATGGAAACCAGCCTAAGCAAGAGCGAGACTCTGTGTCTACTAAAAAAAAGAAAGAAATTAATTGGCCAACTAAAAATATATAGAAAAAATTAGCCAGGCATGGTGGTGCATGCCTGTAGTCCCAGCTACTCGGGAGGCTGAGGCAGAAGGACTGCTTGAGCCCAGGTGTTTGAGGTTGCTATGAGCTAGGCTAATGCCACGGCACTCTAGCCCAGGCAACAGAGTGAGCCTCTGTCTCAAAAAAAAAAAAAAAAAAAAAGAAAAGAAAAGAAAAAATGAAACGCTTAAACAATGAAAGTAATTTGGAAAATTCCTTGTAGCCTTTTAACTGTAAAAATTTCCGCCACTCTACACCTCCAGATAGCTCCATACCACACCCTGAGTTTTAGCTTCAGTTCATGCATTCTTTCAGAAAACACATTCTGAGCTACAATCATCACACAGCACTGAGATAAAGATATGGTTCCCACCCTCAAGGGAATGTATAACACTGCTAGGGACACAACATAGAAAATTAAGCACCAATATGAGATAATATAAATTGTATGGACAATAAAGTTACTTAGAAAAGAGTTAGAAGGAAAGGAAGGGATTTATAGAATTTTAGAATAGAAGGAACCTAGTTAAAACTTACTCATCTTAGGAAATGAAAAAAAGTGTGGCGGCTTACAAAAAAAAAAAAAAAAAAACTGTCAAGTATCTGTTATAAACTAGCACTGTAAGACACATTTTACAACTCTAATTTAATCCCTCAAACTCAACTTTGTAAAACTGAAAGAATTCAAAGAAACAAAGTTTTCTGTTATATTTAAACTTAGAGTCACTAATACCTTTTATTTTACCAATACTGTATTCTACCAATCGTTGTGAGACAGTTCCAGGCAATGAAGCAGGTGCCTCTATGAAAAGTAATGTCTCTGCCTAGTGTATGACTTATTTTATAGAGTGAAGTTATTTCTTTAGGCACCAGTAAGAAAAAGGTTGACTTTTAGAAAATTTTTTTCTTTGATTTAAGAAAGTTTGTAGTTGTCAGGCACAAATATCACAAGCACTGGGGTTAAGCAGCTGCATTTCTTAGAAGCCCTTTCTGGGCTACTAGCCCCTCATCCAACTCTTTCAGTCTAAGCACTTGCTTAGCCAAATAGAGAGTTCAACAGGTTTTCACTCTTGGGAAACTAAGTTTAGAGCCATTAAGTAACTTAACTAAGTACACATAGCTAATAATGCTAGAGCAAAGATCCAAACCCAGGTCTAATTCCAAAGGCAACGTTTTTCCTACCACCCTTGTGACAGGCTTGTCCAGGGTTGGTCAGGAAATGGCAGAGCTAGAATCCAAACTCAGGCCTTCTAAATTCAGCACAATCTCTAATAAATTGTGGAAGATGTAGATACCAAAAGAGGTTTTTGGGCTCTTACAAAAAATAATGTAAGCTACCTTATTATGCATGGAAGCCTACCCTTGGCCTCCCAGGTAGAATGGAAGAACGAGAAATACCCCTGAATGTGGCCAAACATCACTGGAAGAAAAACACTACTTGCAAACGTTACTTGCACACATAGGACCAATATACTTCACAACCATTGCAATTATCAATTCCTATGTGACATGACATTCAGATGCATAAAACTGGCTCTTCTGAGCTTCTCTCAAAGAATGTTCCAATAGGTCTGAGAGCAAAAGCATGCAAAACAATGCTTATATATGTAGAGAGAGGGATAATTTTAACTTGCACAAATCATTCCCTTCACAATTTATTTCCTCATTTTCAAAATATTTTTTGTTATAGAAATTTAAAACATATACATAAGTGGCCAGGCACAGTGGCTCACGCCTGTAATCCTAGCACTTTGGGAGGCTGAGGCACAAGGAACACTTGAGGCCAGAAGTTTGACACCAGCCTGAGCAAGAACAAGACCCCATCTCTACAAAAATTTAAAAAAAAAAAAAAATCTTCCCGACTCTTCCTTTTTTTTTTGAGACAGAGTCTCGCTTGTTGACCAGGTTAGAGTGAGTGCCGTGGTGTCAGCCTAGCTCACAGCAACCTCAAACTCCTGGGCTCAGGCAATCCTTCTGCCTCAGCCTCCCGAGTAGCTGGGACTTACAGGCATGCGCCACCATGCCCGGCTAATTTATTATATATATTAGTTGGCCAATTAATTTCTTCTCTCTTTATAGTAGAGACGTTGGGGTTTGCTCTTGCTCAGGCTGTGTTCGAACTCTTGACCTCAAGCAATCTGCCCGCCTCAGCCTCCCAGAGTGCTAGGATTACAGGTGTGAGCCTCCGCGCCCGGCCTGACTCTTTCTTAAAGAGTCTTAAGAAAAGCACAAGAATGGTAGGGAAAAGATTGCTAACTGGTAGGAACTTCCCCTAGACCTGCTCTGGAATTATCCAGTATGCTCTATTCTCTTCGAGTTTCAAACAACATTCAATCATATTGTCCACTAAATTAAACAGCAGATTAGATGGACATTCAAATCAGACAAATTCTGCAAAATAATGCTCATGAATATCTTGTATAGAGGGCACTGGACCACAGCAATTACTTGAAGTCTCTGATACTCAATATAGATGAGAACACTCATCTGAAAAAAGGGGATAAATATTCAGTTAACTTCAAAAGCAAATTATCATGAAGATCAAATGAGATAATGTACATGACCTAAAAGCTCTATACCAATGAAAGTTGATATTTAATGAATTTGCAAGGGAAAATCCTCAGATAAAACTGAAATTCTTAAGTGAAGTTCCACAAGACAGTCTTAGTTACTTCTCTGCCATTCTACCATTACCTGCTTTTCTTGGCACTTGCCTGGTAACCCTCCACTTAAAATGTGGAGACCCTTTATTTTAAGGTAAGAATATTTTTCCGTCTCCAATTCTCTCTTAATTTCTCTGCTCCCCACCCTTTCTGTGACCCTATTCTGTCCTTCCACATCTCTCTCACCTGTCCACCCCTTCTTCACACTTCACTTTACCACCCCCTCTCTCTGTTCTCCAACCTCCTAGTTGCAACCTCAGAAACTGGTTCCCTTCTATTTTATCTTACCTCAGAAAACCTGCCTTAGGGCATAAAGCCTTATTTTATTCAGGCCACTAAAATTCCAACACCATGCACAACCCTACACCCTCTTTCAAGGCTCTAAAATCAAGACCATTACAAGCAAGGTCTGACAGATACAGCAAGAGCAAAGATTATTTCCAAAGGACAGGACTTCCCATTGGCTTTGATTTCCAACCTTCACATGCCAAACATTGTGAAGCGCAAAGCACCAAAGGCACAGAGTAGGCTTTGTTGCCCTCCATAAAAGGGGCACATTAAAAAAAAATCAAACTGAAATTAATGCAACATGCTTTGAGGATAATTGGAAACACTGTACGATCGAAAAACAACCTAGGGCTGGAAATCTCTGCTGTTGGGTAACATTTCACTAGATCAGGGTGCCAGGACTCCTCCCACATGGGCACAGAGAACAGATTTACTAAGCTGCAGCAACAGGTTTCTTTTTAAAGAAAATGTGTTTTTAAAAATTTAGACGGGTCTGCTAAAGCTTGAATCCCCTAATAGATCCACAACACTGTAGATCCAGGTTAGGGCATTCTGTGAGCAGTTCAATCACTTTTAGGCCCTCTACAGAGCCCACATGCAGAGCCACTGCCTTCTCTCTGCCCAGGAAGTAACTGATGTGGGCAAGTGACGCTGCCCCCAGCCCTGGAGGAGCAGGAGGAAGGGTGGCCAGGCCCACCCTTCGAAGGAGACGCCTGCCTCCCCCCTCCTTCAAAAAGGCAACCACCAGGGCATAGCCCTCCAGGCAGGGCCTTTGCACCTCCTTCTAGCTCCTCCCTCCGGCAGGGAAATCGTGAATTCCGCCTCCCCGCGGAAAGTGGGAGAAGCGCGGGTTTTTTTCCCCACCCCTCCCCAGTGAGGCAAAATCGGCCCTCAGCAAGCCCGGGCGGCACATCCCTCTCCTGGAGGATGGCGCCCACAGCCACACTCAGCTGGACCACACTATCCCCGTTTTCTCGGAGGATGGGTCATCCTCTCCCTCCCCACCGCAAGAGGGCGGAAAGCCCCCTGCTACACCTTCCAGCCGGGCGGCTGGGACAGAGGCCTCCCCCCCCCTACACATCCATGGTCCCCACCCCACTGGCGAAGGGACGGCAGACGTAGCTCCCGCCCTCAGATGACCAGACAGCTTCCCCACTTCCTCAGCAGCGTGAGGGGATCTCTACCCCGCGGACGTGGAGGTGGGGCAGGACATTCCCCATCATCACCCAGGAGCGAGAACAAACCCTTCTCCCAAGGCAGGGTGTGGGCCTCCAACCCCTCAACGTTCTGACGGCTTTGCGCGGCCCCTGGAAAGCAACAGGCGCCCGATCCCCTCCCGGCCGAGAACGGCCGACCCCCTCTCATCCCTCCGGCTCTTCACCGTCTGGAAGTCGGGCCAAAGCCTGGCGAACGACTGCGGCCTCACTGTGCCCCCTGCGCCATTTATCGGCCCCCTCCCGACCTTCCCCCCAGCCGAGTCAGCGAGGCCAAACCAGAGAGGGAGGGCAACAAACAGTGATTGGCAGGAAACCGCCCCGCCTCGTAGGGTGTTGCGCCCACGCAGCGCCGCACCCCGCCCCGCACCGCCCTCCTCCCTATGGTTCCACCAATCTCTCGTCTTCTGGCATTTCTTAGAAGCCCTTTCTGGGCTACTAGCCCCTCATCCCAACTCTTTCCAAAAGGTTCAGTCTAAGCACTTGCTTAGCCAAATAGAGAGTTCAACAGGTTTTCACTCTTGGGAAACTAAGTTTAGAGCCATTAAGTAACTTAACTAAGTACACATAGCTAATAATGCTAGAGCAAAGATCCAAACCCAGGTCTAATTCCAAAGGCAACGTTTTTCCTACCACCCTTGTGACAGGCTTGTCCAGGGTTGGTCAGGAAATGGCAGAGCTAGAATCCAAACTCAGGCCTTCTAAATTCAGCACAATCTCTAATAAATTGTGGAAGATGTAGATACCAAAGAGGGTTTTTGGGCTCTTACAAAAAAATAATGTAAGCTACCTTATTATGCATGGAAGCCTACCCTTGGCCTCCCAGGTAGAATGGAAGAACATGAGAAATACCCCTGAATGTGGCCAAACATCACTGGAAGAAAAACACTACTTGCAAACGTTACTTGCACACATAGGACCAATATACTTCACAACCATTGCAATTATCAATTCCTATGTGACATGACATTCAGATGCATAAAACTGGCTCTTCTGAGCTTCTCTCAAAGAATGTTCCAATAGGTCTGAGAGCAAAAGCATGCAAAACAATGCTTATATATGTAGAGAGAGAGGGATAATTTTTAACTTGCACAAATCATTCCCTTCACAATTTATTTCCTCATTTTCAAAAATATTTTTTGTTATAGAAAATTTAAAACATATACATAAGTGGCCAGGCACAGTGGCTCACGCCTGTAATCCTAGCACTTTGGGAGGCTGAGGCACAAGGAACACTTGAGGCCAGAAGTGCTTCAGTTCATGCATTCTTTCAGAAAACACATTCTGAGCTACAATCATCACACAGCACTGAGATAAAGATATGGTTCCCACCCTCAAGGGAATGTATAACACTGCTAGGGACACAACATAGAAAATTAAGCACCAATATGAGATAATATAAAATTGTATGGACAATAAAGTACTAGAGAAAGAGTTAGAAGGAAAGGGAAGGGATTATAGAATTTTAGAATTAGAAGGAACCTAGTTAAACTTACTCATCTTAGAAATGAAATGGGACAAAAAACTGTCAAGTATCTGTTATAAACTAGGCACTGTAAGACACATTTTACAACTCTAATTTAATCCCTCAAACTCAACTTTGTAAAACTGAAAGAATTCAAAGAAACAAAGTTTTCTGTTATATTTAAACTTAGAGTCACTAATACCTTTTATTTTACCAATACTGTATTCTACCAATCGTTGTGAGACAGTTCCAG